ATAAAACAGCACATTTTGTGTTTATTTTCACAAACATTGTGTTTTAATGTGGTGCACAGGTGTAATATATTAATGGAGGAATCACACCAGTGACAGGAAACACTGGGGCCGTGAAAGGATCCTCTGATGCAGTCGAGACAGAAACCTCTAGGGCCAGAGCAGCTTTAGCAGGAACCTCTGGGACCAGGAAGGCTTAGAAAGGAGCTGTGGGACTGGAGCAGCTTTAGACATAAGCTCTAACTGAGGCTATGAAAAGAAAGATTGAGGCAGCCTTGGCTGGAATTTCTTTGGCAGCCGTGACATGAATCTTAACACCATCATGAGAGGAACCTTCGTGGCACACATGATGGGAAGCTTTGCAACTGTAGCTGTTATGACACAGAGCTCTGAAACCATTGCAGGTTTTGGGGTTGCAGCAGCAGAAACGTTCAGGCCAGGACAAGAAGCTCTGGGACCAGGGTAGCTCTGAAAAGGTACCGAGTCAAGTAACCTCTGTTGTGCCTTTGATTGGGTGCTCTCTGACCTCAGCAGGTTCTGCGTCAAGAACCCTCATGGAGGCCTTTACAGTGATTTCTGAAGCATCCCTGACTTTGGCACCCAGTTGCAGGAACCTTTGGAGCAGCAGTGTGAAGGACCTTTTGGACTAGCAATGCTATAAAAATGGTGTTCTGGAGCTTTTACGTCAGGGACCTCTGTGGGACCTCAGCAGGTTTTGGAGCAGCAGTGACAGTGGCCTTCACAAGGATTTCTGCAGTGCCCCTGACAGGATCTCTGGGCCCAAGGTGACTGAGAAAGTGAGCTCTGTTGCCATGTGAGTGGAACCTCTAGAGCGGCAATGCCAGGAACTTGTGGGACAGGCTTGACAGGAAGCTATGGGAAGCTCTAGGTGACTCCATTTTTAGAAATATGATTGGATGGTGCAGTACTTAACTTAAAGGGGTCATATGATGTTGCTAAAAAGAACATTATTTTGTGTATTTGGTGTAATGAAATGTGTTTATGCGGTTCAAGGTTCAAAAAACACATTATTTTCCACATACTGTACATTATTGTTTCTCCTCTATGCCCCGCCTTTCTGAAACGCGTCAATTTTTACAAAGCTCATCGGTCTGAAAAAGCGAGGTGAGCTGTGATTGGCCAGCTATCCAATGCGTTGTGATTGGCCGAATACCTGGGGCGTGTTAGAACGAGCCGTTTTAGGTAGGTGTGGCTGACTCTTAACTTTTATAAAGAATATCTCTTTGGATTTGAGACTTTAGTCTTTGCAACTTTACAGATCTTCTTTATGCACCAAGAGCTTGTTACACTCCAAAGAGAAAGGAAAATTTGAAATCGCATCATATGACCCCTTTAACTAAAAACTAAACAAACTATTTACAATACACATCCGTAGGCGAGTATCGCAAGACGCTAAAACTACTGCCTCAAGCCAAGGCGCCAGACGCAACCAAGGCCTGCCAGCCCCGCAAGACACTAAGGCTGGAGGGATGGAGGGGTCACTCGTGTCAGTCTGCCAGACGCAAGGCTGACCCTGTCCTCCATGACTTACAGGGGGACCTGAAACACAATTACAAATTAGACAAAAAATATTTCATAAGGTATAAACATACAACTTGTTATTTATGCAGTGTATGAGGATTGACTATATGAATTGCTGCAGGTATTGAAAGGTAAAATATGGAAGCTAATGTTCATATTCAGATTATCAAACTAAACCACCAAAAAGCCAAAAAAAATATTAATATGTCTTCAAAATCATTTTAGCTTGTCTTTGACTAGGTACCTTAAACCAGTCATGGAAGAGCATCTCCTCCAGATGAAGCCTCTGCTCTGGGTCGCTCTTCAGACAACCTCGGGTAAAACAGCAGCATTCTGTGCAGAAAGATGGAGAGATGTCTGATTATTACCTTCAACGTTACACTCGCTTTCTAAGCTGTAAAACTGAGAAAGATTCCTGTATTATCCATAAGGACATCTTTTATAAAGCTGTTTTGTCTCATTAAAAATAGTTGAAATAAAGATCTCACCATCAGGAAAGCCTGGCTGGAACCAGATATCAGTGTCCATCAAACTGATATCGCTGCTTTTGGGGAAAAGGCTGGTGATCATGCGGAACAGGAGCACTCCCAGTGATCACACCGTTGCCTGTTTCCCATGGTACTCGCCCTTCTCAAAATATTCAAGAGGGCAGTACCTCGCTGTCCCTGGAGGAAAGAGTTTGTTAAATGTTAAGTTTGCTTTGCCACTGCATGTTTTCTCACTTTACTCTGACTGCATTTAATAATAGTCAATAAAAAAAAATTATGACTGGCTTTTATTCTTCTGAGAATGTTGTTAGTTCATTATTAGTTCATATCTCGTCTGATTAAGATATGGAGTCACTGGTCACTAGAGTTTAAGTCCCAAAGTACATGTTTGAAAAATAATACGTACCACTGTAGGTTTTGTATGATGTGCTTTTCAGGGGGTCCCCACAGCCGAAATCAATCAGCTTGACCTCCAGGGTCTCTGTGTTGACCAGGAGGTTCGGCATCTTGATGTCGCGATGGAGGACCCCCCGGGAACAGCACACAGCAGCAGCGTCGATAACCTGCTGCATGAAATGACGGGCCATCCCCTCACTGAAGAGGCCATCATAATGCAGCCAAAAATCATGCATGTCCATACAGGGTGAGGGCTGCTCTAAGACCATAATGTATTGGTCGGGATGGTCCCACCAGTCCAGTAACTATGTGGCGACAGCTGGGGTCTTGATTGGCCAAGACTGTCAGGGCCACCTCTAGAGGCACTGATCTGGGATGGTCAGTCTAGAAGAAAGACCATTTTTATGACGGTTAGATGGAAGTGATTTCTCAAATAAGGATTTTGCGCAGCCTGTTTGAAATATTAATTATTTGATTCTGTGATCACATTAAACTAAAATGTTATGATCTGCAATCAATGACTAACAGGCGATGACACAGAGAGCACAGTTCACTTACAAGGCTGATGTATGGCTCGTTCTCTGTCTTCGCTGTGAATTTCACAGCCGCCTGAGGCCGTCCTCACAGCGGGTCCCTTCATATACGGAGCCATATGATCCTTGGCAATAACATATTTCCAGCAAATGTGGTCTAGTAAAACATAATTATAGTTATCTTTTCTTATATTATAAAGCAGTGTCCTGCAGTTTGGCATGCCATGCTTATTCTAAAACTATTTTAACATTGTTTCTAATTCTTTTTTAATTACTATACTTGTACTTTCATATTAATTGAGATTTGAGAAATATAGTATAGAATATCTGTACTTTTGAAAAATAAATTTATCACAATGCAGGATTATTTAAGTGAACTCCAAAAACGTTGCAGCTGCATTATTTAAAACATACACTTTCTTTTATACACATCCATCTAAAATAATATATTGTAAGAATAGCATGTGTGTGTTATATTTTGGATTATGACAGTAAACTCACCTTCAATCCTCACGATCTCATCACAGCCCAGCTGTCTCAGCAGATGTGATGCACTCTCATCTGCTGATGGACTGACTGGACTGTCCTGATCTTGAGGCTGGATGTCCAGCATTTGCTGGTCCTCGGCGGCGGGAGAGACTTCAGAACTACTGGCAGGAGGCTCCTGATGATCATTGAACTCTACAGTACAGATGATGTCCTGTAGAGAAGTCTGATCTAAAGAGAAGAATATCAACCAAATGATTGTTTTAATCAAATAAAAACAATAAAATATTGCATTCTCATATTCATTTTTCATTTAGGGGAACATTTGACTACTTGAAATCTTAAATTTCTTCAAAATATTGCTTTCTATATTAAAACTTTTATCACATGTTGTGGAATAAAGTAATTGATCTGCATTTTTATAATATGTGACTGTGATTTTTACATTGTGTGTTAATGATTAGGAGATATTTTGATGTTCAGAGAGACTGAGAGAGCTTGTCATTTACCATCAGTACACCTCCTGCTGGGGCCTCGTCAGTGTCCTGCTCCATCTCATCCTGCTCCACCTGCTCATCCTGAGCTCTGGTGGATTTGGGACGAGACAAACATCAGAAGAAAAAGGCAAACCACCGAAACCTCTTTATCTTCCTCTTCTTTTTCGTCTTGTTGTTGTTCATCATCATCTTATTATTATTACTATTATTATTATCATTATTATTACACTGTAATATAATAAAGTGTAACCCCAGCTGCATTGACCAGAAATTTAATTTGAACAAATTTGATCTTGTGATCTTGACTTTACATATTCACTGGTTGATAAAAATGTATTGCAAGATAGTTCTGAGAAAATCTCTAGCATCATTTGTTTGCAGATTTGATCCTTTAGCTTTCTGGACCAGTTCAACAATTCTTGAAATAGTGAAAACTTAAAAGGCACCATGCAACAGTATCAAACAATTGTTATATAATTGTGTAATTTAATTTGAATATTAAAACACATGTTCCACTTGATCTGACCTGATATTAATGAAAAATGCTGTTGAGCTACCTTCATGGCATAGTTGGCTCTTGTCGGAATGTGCTCAAGATATGATGTTGGAGGACAAATCTTCGTCTCCAATCCTTATAGTTTGTGAGATTCACATTTCTAACAATGTTCATAAGTATAATACTAGTTTTGAATTTTCATATTCCTTGTCACAGCCACAAGAGGGCGACAGGCAGTGCTTTCATCTTGAAAATGATGTGCATCCCTTAACAGCCGACATTCAGTAGGCCTATTTTTTTTTTTTGCATGTGCTGTAAAGTACATATTAAACCCTAGCGACGGTTCTTTTTTATATTAAAACGTGGATTTTTTTTATGAGTTCGTTTGAAATAATTCTAATCTAAACGTACAAGGTCATTGTGGTCAGTGCATGAGAGCCAGTAAAAGCTTATGTTTATCCAACAAATAACGGGTTAATCAACAATCACCCACTGCAGCATCACTTATTAACGCCGAGTGCCAGCTAGGATTTTTATGGTATTGCCATCATGCCATTTACGGCAAGGAATGTCGCCTTCTAATAGGCTGTTTGGATTGTAGTCCACCGCTTCGGGCGCTTCCGCTTCCGTTTAGCGATGGATGGCAAGCAGTATTGCATTTCTGTCTTTCTCGCACATTTTACAATGACGAAGCCAAATCTAATATAGAGGATCAAACATGAATTGTTTTGATAATAAATTCATATCCGACTAAGTCGCGGTGTCCGTTAAGAGAGCGGAAGATGTCTAACATCGGAAGTTAAATTGTTGTGGTTGCATTAGCATAACGCACTAGATTTAGCTTCATGTCAACAACATCGCGAGTCGTTTTTACAGTCAAACACGCTTTGTTTTGATTATTTTGCTTCTGTTCGTCCATTGTAGTCATTTCATGCAGGTTTGCGGTGTCATTGCTTGAAATGGCACAGTTTAAGATGGACAGAGAGGAGTCTGACAGGCTGATAGAAAAAGCCAAGCTGTGTTTGCGGTCAGGACGCAAAGAGAAAGCCTTGCAGCTACTGTACGAGGCGCAGAAGATCTACCCGAGCACCCGGGCCAGAGGTTTGTATCATGCTGTTGTGGTTTGATTGACAAATCAGGTGTGTTTGGTCAGTGCGCTGAAATAGAAAGTGCAGCGTCTGGATGTTGTGCGTTATATAAGCTGTCCTCAGGTCAGCGGTGGATTTCGGTCTCCCAGCGGTTGAAAAGATCTGACGTACGACGTTTTGAAAGCTGTGGAGACTGATCTTATGAAACACATCCCCGTTGTAATTCAGTCTTGAGAAAGAAAAAAATAACTTGTATGATAAGCTGCATAATTCAGCTTTTCGCAGTTTTTTTTTTAAAGGAACAGTTCATCCAAAATGAAAAACTTGTCATCGTTTACCCTCACGTGGTTCCGGTCCAAACCTGTATGCATTTCTTTCTTCTGCGGATCACAAAAGAAGATATTTTGAAGAATGTTAGTAACCACTGACTTCCATTGTCTGGACAAAAATACAGTAGAAATCAGTGGGACCAAAACATTTTTTTTTAACATTTCTGAGGGTCTTAAAAACTCTTAATTTGCCTTTCCACAAATTAACGCCTTAAAAAGATTTTAGACTAGAGCAGAATGTCTTAAATTCAAGTTATGGCATGACATGTTGCATAGGCTGCAAAAAATTCACTATGTCTATATCTTTGTCTTGTTTTACAATACAAGTATCTAAACATTCTTAAATCAAGATACTTTTACTTGTGAGTCTCGTTTTGAGAAATTGAACAAAATTAAAATTTATGGAACAGGAACAAATATCGGGGGTATGAAACCTGGATTAACCTTTTTTAAAAAGTTCATTTTGCAGATATTAGCAGATATTTGTTCTTTTTTTAATGACAAATGCAATTCATTTTTGCATATATTTTAATTTAAGAATTTTTTTACATTTGCACTGGAACAAATACTGATGAAGAACATCACTTTTGTGCTGTGTTCAGAAGGTACAATGAAAGTTGTTTCCATATTCTAGCTGTGTGTGTAAAATAAATTCAAAAGCAATGGAGATTGGTTAGAAGCTGTATTTTCAAACTCTGAAGTGTTGCTAATGTAAGTCATTGTGGTCTCCTTAGAAACTTAGAACATGTTGATGTATTGTGTTCCCTTCAATTTGGTCCTTAAATTTTCTTTAATTGGTCGTAAACAGCTCTTTTAAAAAGTCTTAAATCCACCTTCATAAAACTTGCAGAAATCCTGTTAATAGAAATGGGGGACCAGCAGAAAAAAAACAACTTACTGTTAAGTCCTGATACTAATGCATGATGTTAGCTTTTATTTATTTTAATTTTTTTACGCTTTGAAGTATTGAGTAATAACAACATGTACATAGGGGTTAGGTTTGGTTTAGGGTTAATTGCATGTAATTATGTATAATTTACTGTTAATGCTAGTAAGTAAAAAAAAAAAAAAAGTCACTACAATCAATTTAAAATTTCTCTCTGATTTCTCTCATTAGTACTGATTGATGCCATTGTGAAGAATGGCGGCACTCCCCCTGAAGAGGAGCATACCTACACACCTCCACCCGGCTGGGGAAACTCTGAAGGCGATGGCCCGGCTCAACATCAGCGGCCCAGTACACGAGAGAGAGCAGAGGGGTCCAGCGACGACAAGAAGAGCTACACAGAGGAGCAGCGGCAAGGAGTGCTCAGGTACTGACAGGAGTAGTCACCCAAAAATGAGAAGTCAGTCATTGTTTGTTTATCTCCTGCTTAAACCTGTGCAGGATGAAGAGATGCAGAGACTTCTATGAGATTCTGGGGGTGCCAAAGGATGCCAGTGATGACGACCTGAAGAAAGCCTATAGGAAGCTGGCGCTACGCTTCCACCCGGATAAGAACTGTGCCCCTGGAGCGACCGAAGCTTTTAAAGGCATCTCATATATGTTATGACCACTGCTGATTAGGGTTGGGTATCGTTTGAATTTTATCGATTCCGATTCCGGTTCCGATTCTGCTTATCGATTCCGATTCTTATCGATTCCTAATTCCGATTCCAATAAGATAAAAAAAATCCATTAAACAAATTTTAAGTCAAATATTTAGATGTCAAACATATTTATTCTCTTTTATGTCTATGGTTTTATCAAAAAAGTACCACAGAAAAAAACAACTAGACTAATATAAATTTTAAACAATAAATTGTTATAGACAAGTAAACAAATTAATTAGCAATAGCATAAATAAATAAAACTGAACAAATATGTCAGGTACAGAAATTTAAATCCAGTTTTAAATCACATTAAAATGCGAACGCGGGAATCGTTAAGCGGAATCGAAATGCACATGTCTTATCGAATACCCGATTATTGGAAATTTGGAACCGGTTCTAAAATGGTACCCTACTGCTGACGCTAAAAAGTTTTGGGTCAGTTCTATTTGCTTTTAAAGGAAATTAATACTTTATTCAGTAAATATGTATTAAAGTGATCACTAAATACTTTTGATTGATACAAAAGAAATCTATTTAAAATAAATGCTGTTGTTTTGATGTTTCTATTTTATTATAAAAAATGATTAAAAATGTCATGGTTTCCACAAAAATATTAAGCAGCACAACTGTTTTCAGCATTGATAATAAAAAATGTTTGTTGAGCACCAAATTAGCATATTAGATGATTTCCGAAGGATCATGTGACACTGAAAATTCAGATTTGCAATCACAGGAATAAATTCCATTTTAAAACATATTAAATTAGAAAACATTTAAATTGTAATCATAGTTCACAATATTACTGTATTTTTTTATCAAATAAATATAGCCTTGGTGAGCATAAAAGACCTCTTACTGACCTCACTCTGTTATATTTAGATATATATTATTAATGTAAAGCTGTAATATTTGTGTTTCTCTGCTCCTGTTCTCTATTCAGCTATAGGCAATGCATATGCAGTGCTCAGTAACCCAGAGAAAAGGCAGCAATATGATCAGTGTGGGGACCAGGGCCCTGCAGAGACATCCAGTCATGCTTCAGCCCAGCCTAGTCATGCGTATGGACACCACCGCACCTTCAGCAGAGACTTTGAGGCTGACATCTCTCCAGAGGAGCTCTTTAACATATTCTTCGGGGGCAGGTTTCCTACAGGTCTGAACTTCTAAGAAAAGCATTACAGCTAAGGAAATCGTTTTCATTAACTGCAATGTGTAATTTCATTTGGAGCATTTATATGTTCTAATAATTAATACAATGCAAGCTAAATTTTTCTGTCACATGTTTAAAGAACAAACAAGTCTTATCCTCATGCAGGCAACATCCATATATATACCAACCAAGGAGCTTCTTACACTCATTATTACCAGCCCCGCAGACGCCGTACGTATGAGAGACGGGAGGAAGAGGTGGAGGAGAGCCACAGTCCGGTGAGTAATCTTATGATTACTTGATCATATAGGTGAGTACACAAGTTATGGGTTAAAACAGGACCAATCCTCAAACAAGGGTCAGTCACAAATAAGTGTCATAATAAATTTCATATGGTTTTGAAAAACTAAATTTAATGCCTTGACATTAAAAAAATGTAATTTAAAATACAAAATAACTAATGCTGGGCAAAAGTTTAAAAAACCGTAATCGCGATTAATTGCATGATTTTTCTGCGATTAATTGCATTGTTATGCACAAAATTCAGTAAAGAATTCAAAAGTAGTGTATTGCACACTTTTATTTGAAAAGTACTGCTGTATGAACAAAAGTGCAATAACATTTGGTTTGCAAACACTTTAAACAAATAAGGTGCATTTTACAGCACTATTCCCTTTACATAGTAGCAGTTAAATTATTTCTTGTAAATCTCAACTTAAACATTAATGTAATCAAATCAAATTAAAATCTCTTTTTCATACAACCCGTGTATTCTTCTTGTGATGGTGCGTCTTGAAGGAGGCTCATGCGTGCCGTCATTCGTTGCGATCCTAAGAACGTTCACCTGTTTTTGACGGACGCCGCGTCCAAGCCGCACAGTAGATACAAAATAAAAGTCCAAAAATCTATTTCAATTTCAAAATAAACACCCTGCGCAGACTCCCGATCGTATTTCACATCACTATATCCTTGCCAGGAGGTCAGAAATGGTATGTGAAATATATATAGAAGATAATTGAGGATGGTTTTTAGACGACTATACACAGCTACAAATCTTTTATCCCTGTCGTTCATAACTGGACTTTTAAATTGCAATAACTTTGTAGTCTACAGCACAACAAAGTAGGACATGGCAATAAACACAAGAATAACTGCGTTAATGCGTGATAAAATAATTGTCTGCGTTAATTAATTATTGTGTTAACTTGCCCAGCCCCAATAATAACATATATTGTTCTTACATCTTGAATAAATGTAAGTGTACACATCTTAATCATTATTTTCCAAAATGCTTTTTAAATATATTTTGTAGTTGGGACATTGAATGTTATGTGGTGTTATGAGGTCATCTGCATGATATAATTTCTAGTTGGCTCATTTAACAGACAGAAGTTTTTCAAATATTAATAAGCAGTAAGGCAGTTTAAGAAAACAAATTGTAAGAAATAATACAAATATTTAAAGTTTAAATCCTATTTTATCCTTTTAGTGAGGCATTATTCTTTGCTATAAGAACAGAAATAAATTTTAGTTCAGAAATGTAAAAACTTGTTCATCGTAGAACACGTTCATCGTAGGTATATTCAAGTTGACGTATGTATGAATAGCATTTTTAATGTATTTTTATTATGACAGTCATGTCATTGACTCGAAAAACAGAGCTGTTCAGCTAATTTTCACGAGTGAAACTAGAATCTGCACAGTCAGTAATTTCGAGTGAGGGCAAAAGATTTTGCCATGCAGATGATTTTGCACTGGGTTCAAGTTGGTAACAGATTGACCAACAGAAAGCTGTTTGATTTAAAAGCGACTTCTGTATGAGCGATGCTGCATACATCGCTACACTACTTTTTTGATCGTGGAAATTTCACTAATTTGACCTCACCTTCATTCTGTTTCTGACCTCCATACTGTACACAGGGTCCCTCTCAATACTTGTTCCTGTTTCTCTTCATGTAGAACAACTTCACAGCTCTGCTGCAGCTGCTGCCGGTGCTAGTGCTCATTCTGATATCTGTATTCACTCAGCTGATGGCCACCAACCCTCCCTACAGCCTCTTCTACAAACCGTAAGTCAATCATGACACATGGTTCAAAACATCTGCTTTAAGAAAAGACCTGTGCCCGGTTGCATAAAGCACCTTAAGTGTAATTTTCCCTTAAGATTGCCCTTAAGTTTCCCTTACACTTAAGGGCATTGCATAAAATATCCCTTAAATGTTACTTATATCCTTATTTATTTTGTTAATAAAAGTTCAAAGTTTAATGTTTTTTTATTATTATTAATAATAATGAGCCATAAGCATGCATTTAAAGTAAGGGGGAAATCCAAAAACCTTGCATTTATTTGTGTTACAACGCGGGTAAATCAGTCTTATTCAGTGGTGTAGCAAGTCAGCCCTGGGCCCATATGCAAAAAATTGGACCTTTTTTCAGTCAAAAAAAAGTCATTAGGCTATAGGCTAATGCTTGGAAATGTTGTTTAAAGTTTTCAAGTCCATTCATTATTTGAAGCACGCATGCCACCCAATAATCGCAGCTTTGTGCTTTGTTACTAAGTCTCAGCCTTCTGTCAATTTTATGATACAACTTTATTCTTAAAATATTATGACGTTTCTTATTTATTTAGTTATTTTTAAACGTGGCACAAAAATGCTGCCATATAGGCTACTGAATGCAAACACAATTTTGGCACATCAGCCCAAAAAACAAAACAAAACCAAAAATAAATAATAATAATAAAATAAAAAAACAAACAAAAAAAAAGTAAAAAAAATTGTGAGGGGATATTTGATAATAAACTGTTTTCTGCGTCAATGTTGCAAAAATTAATTTGACGAACCTGACTAGCCATCCTCATTGGACGTGCCTTTAGAGAGAAATGCATCTTTACGGATTACATAATGAAAGAGTTTTTGTTTTCGATTTGAATTATTGCGTTTTAAAATAATAATTTAAAGCATTCTATAGATATATTTATCATGTCAGTGAAGCACTCCTGCTCAAGACCAAGAAGACAGAAAGCGCCTGTTTGTTTTCCTTATTTTACAAAACCACAAGGTTTTGTTGAAACAACTATTTTAATAGCTGTGTAATGGGGAAGAGAGAGAGAGAAAAAAGAAACGGGATCCACTCGGACTCGGCCCGAGAATTCTCATAAAGCTGTTGGACAAGGGCCGGGCCCATGCAGGGCTCTATTCATATGACCCCTTTAAGTATCCCTTAGTCTTCTACAAGTCATGATCGGCTGCTTTATGTTAAACAGATTTTAATTTACGCATTTATTCACATATAAACATTGATCAAATTACATACAGCACATAATTAGCTCAAACGTGAGTGGCACATAACGTTAATTAGCTCAAACGTGAGTGTGTCACACTCGAGAGCAAATTTATATTCCATAATATTTTATTCCTGTATTTTCCTACATATTACCTGGAGATGACTTGAAAAACACACATAAACCATATATTGTTGCAATCGTGAGTTTATTGTGTTTACGGTTCTAGTTCAGCTTATTAGATAGGCTACTTCTATGAATCCGGTTTGGACTTTCAACGCAAGAGCGCCCTCTGGCTTCGAGTATGAATGAAACGCGCTGCATGAGTGTTTAGCGCTTTAATGTTCACATTTGAGTGAATTACCAGTTTGAGTTTCCGTCTCGTCTGGTCCTTCTCTTTCATATTTGGTTTTCTTTTTTGTTTTCCTTATCCATGTTGTATTGTTTTCTGTGAAAACATACACCGCTATCTGCATTAACAAATAACGTGACCATGGCAACAGTCGATGTTTTTAATGGCAAAACCTGACCTAGGAGAGGAGGTAATTCTTACTTTACTATGACAATCTGGCGCTTCTGAATCAGCTACTGTTTTGTTATTAGTTTAAGTATTTGCTATCTGTTCAAATGCGGAGTTTTGCGCAACGTTTGTGTGTGTGTGTGTGCGCGTGCGTGTGTGAGAGAGAAAGAGAGACAGGGTCACATCACAGTGGAGGCAGCTGTCTTACATATTCTGTTACACCAAATACACAAAATAATGATCTTTAAAAAAGCATCATATGACCCCTTTAAGTCTCATACTTAAGGTGCTTTATGCAACCGGGCACTGACATATGCTCTCTGTCTCACAGGTCCATGGGGTTGGTGGTGTCCAGAGAAACCCAGCACATGGGTGTGCCATACTATGTGGATAAGAGTTTTGAGAACGAATACCGCGGTGCTGCCCTGGAAGAGCTAGAGAAGACTATTGAGAGCGACTATATTGACCATCTACAGAGCAGCTGCTGGAAAGAGAAGCAACAGAGTAAGATGTCTTCTCATCCATTAGGTTATGACTCTGTAATATAAACCCCTGTATTACTAAAGCTATGTTGTTTTGTTTCAGAATCTGATCTAGCTAATCTGGGCCAACTGTACCGAGACGAGCGGCTGAAGCAGAAGGCCGAGACCATGAAGTTGGATCACTGTGACAAGCTGCACCGCTTCATGGGACGACAGAGAGGAGACTGAGGCTGCGTCGCCCTCCCAGACAGCATGGTCTGCCTAATCAAAAAGCTTTTAGTATTGGTTATATATTTCAATTTACTTGGGTGGGTCACCTTTTTGGGAAGGAGAAAGGAAGGGAGAGATGTGAAATCGCAGGAACCCAAGCTGATTTTCGCTTGAGCATTTGTGCCTTTCATCCATGAATGGGGTGAAGTCTGACGGCTTTTGTCTCATCTGATTCAGCTGCGATGCACAACTGCGTGTGTGTGAGAGGTTAATTTGTGCGAGCGCCTGGTATATATTTTTCCTTACATTAAGGAGCACCGACTCCAGGCTGGCCAACAGGATTAAAGCTAGTGCTTGTCGTTTATTAGTTGCATTTAAGCTTTATTGTTAATAGGAATTTAACTTATTTAATAACATTTAATTTATTTTTTCTGAATTTGTGCTGTGAATTACATTTGACAACAACTTTTAATAGAAAGCTAATTTTTTGTTTTTGGAAACAAACGGTTCTCAAAAACAGGGATATAGACCACTACAGCTTGTCAAAGCTCTCTGGACGTAGCGACTAAAAAAGCCCCTTGTGTACATTAAATTAGTTTTTTGGTCCTTTGTTACCGTGCTGTATGTTTTGGACATTTAAAGGTATTGGGCAACTGTTTTTAAGCAATGTCTTTTTTTGTGAAGAAGGTAAAAATGTTCAGTGCACTGACAGAAATGCTAAATGCCATTACCTCAGATTTATTAATCTGCAGTGTTTGATTTATATTTTGGCACTTTATTTGTCTTAACTTCTCTTGTTATTGCATGCATCCATCCATCCATGCATTCTTCCTGCCTTGTTAGTGTTTGAAGGTGTTACTGGCACAGTTTAATATCCGTAATTATAACTAGGCAAATAACAGTTACTGAGCATCTGTTTTGAACTACAATTAATGTTTTACCTCATGTCACTGAACACTAAGTTCTATATATAATATACTATATAATATATCTTTAGCACAAATTTGAGCATGAAGGCTAAGATGTTCAGAAGTGCTACAGGAAGCGTCCACTCATTCGGGATGAAATGGAGAGTTGGATGTGACGTGGAGTGTTTGTGCCAGTGCTGGTATTCTGATCTTGTTTTCATGCAGTCCACAAATTGCTGGAAGTTTTGTTTGGATTGAGTGCGTTTTTGTGCTGCTTAAATAAAACATTAATCAAACATGGTTTCTCTGTGGTCTGTGATTCTCAAAAGTTGTATGCTTATATGCAGAATTCATTAATTATTGACCAAAAACAGATTGTCAGGAAGAGGTGATCATGTCAGTATCATAATTTATAGTTGTAATTTTACAGCTCTTTTTATTGCATAAAAGCAATAATTAATTCAAAAATTCAATAAATCTTTTCCATACAGTTAAGGTCAATGGTGACCAAAGATTTTCAATAAATAATGACTTGAGTAAGCATAAAAATGTAATCTTATTTAATTTTTTTGTTTGTTTTTTTGATCTCATCATTTTAATAAATGTCTCAGCCCAATCTTCTGGTGAATTAGAGCTCGATCAGACTCCTTCAATCATATCATCTGCTTAAATCCAGCCCTTTAATTACAATCAACTACAAGCTTGCATTCCCATCCATCTCCATCCAATCAACAACCAATGGATTGAACCAAGTTCCTGCCCTACATTTTGTTTTTATTATTGATCATCTGTTTTACTCAGATGTGTCACAATCTGGAAGAAAAGATCTGTCGATACAGCTAAGAGACGCTGCCAGGTAGAATTAATTCACACATGCAGTCGCTCTCACTAATGCATTCATATTAATGTAATCTTTACTGTGCTACTTTATCTGTATCTGATTTAGAATGAGCAGAAATCTGTGAGAAATATAACGACCCAAAGACAAAATAACTGATAAAAAAGCTGTTATGTGGGCAGCGCTGTGTCATATGCCATAGTGGTGGCATATGACAGCTCCAGACTTATTTGTTCATTAATGACATCATCAGCGACTAGTTGACTTCGACTAGACTTTCATCACATAAAAGTCCACTTCAAAAAATCAGAAAGTCGTTCAACCCCAAGCACGTAACCACCTCACGCACCGGATGCCGTGCGCGCGCCCAAAGACAGTTGGACATGGTGTATTAGAGGTAAAAAATTATATAAATACTGTTCGGTTTCTGGCACAAACCGATCCATCGTCGTGTAGTTCACCGTAAAAGCGGATAAACATAATAACAAAATGGTAAAGAACAGTGTGAGAGAATGAAGACGCTACTGCGTCACTACTGTCATCCTATTTAAACTGTTGGTTAGCTTAACCATAAAGGGAAAATAACAAACATATTCCGAAGTGCATGTTTGACGAACGCTGTAATTTAAAGAGTTGCGGTTGTGCTATTTAAAGGGGTTATATGATGCGATTTCAAGTTTTCCTTTCTCTTTGGAGTGTTACAAGCTGATTGTGCATAGATAAGATCCCTGAAGTTGCAAAGACTAAAGTCTCAAAACCAAAGAGATATTCTTTATCAAAGTTAAGACTCTGCCACGCCCCCCTAAAACGGCTCGTTCTAACACGCCCCCACATATCTACCTCACTATGTGGAAATATTTGCATAATGCTGCCCAAATGTGCACGCAAAGAAAGAAGGCGTGGTTTCAGTAACCGCAGTTAGTGTTGATGCAGTCATGTCAGGGAGACGCTTTGTGTTTCTAGGTGAAAGCAAAAGCACTTTATTTGGCCTTCCGAAAGTAGATGCATTTAGGAATCTTTAAGATTACTTACAACAGAACAGCAATGCATTTTATGGACGACCGTTTCATGGACCTTGGAGAGGAGGTAATTCTGACTTTGCTATGACAATCTGGCGCTTCTGAATCAGCTGCTGTTTTGTTATTAGTTTAAGTATTTGCTATTGACTGTTGAAATGCGGAGTTTTGCGCATCATGTGTGTGTGTGTGTGTGTGTGTGTGTGTGTGTGTGAGAGAGAGAGAGACAGCGTCACATCACAGTGGAGTCAGCTGGCTTAACCGTGGCTTGTGTACTGGAAACACATATTCATTACTGTGTCTGTCACGAGACTCTGTTCTCCTTTCGGGCTCTGTCTTTACATTTATTTTGAAAGATGAAGCTCGCGATTATGGTAAGGGGCGTTACATTTCCGACGAGTGCTTGCGGTGTTCGGCCAATCACAATGCACTGGGTCAGTTGGCCAATCAGAGCAGACTGCGCTTGTCGGAAGGAGGGACTTTGTAGAAAACAAAGCATTTGAGAGAGGCGGGGCATAGAGGACCTACAATAATGTACAGTATTTGAAAAATAATGTGTTTTTGGAACATTAAAGCATGTCAACATATTCTGTTACACCAAATACACAAAATAATGATCTTTAAAAAAGCATCATATGACCCCTTTAAGTCTCATACTTAAGGTGCTTTATGCAACCGGGCACTGACATATGCTCTCTGTCTCACAGGTCCATGGGGTTGGTGGTGTCCAGAGAAACCCAGCACATGGGTGTGCCATACTATGTGGATAAGAGTTTTGAGAACGAATACCGCGGTGCTGCCCTGGAAGAGCTAGAGAAGACTATTGAGAGCGACTATATTGACCATCTACAGAGCAGCTGCTGGAAAGAGAAGCAACAGAGTAAGATGTCTTCTCATCCATTAGGTTATGACTCTGTAATATAAACCCCTGTATTACTAAAGCTATGTTGTTTTGTTTCAGAATCTGATCTAGCTAATCTGGGCCAACTGTACCGAGACGAGCGGCTGAAGCAGAAGGCCGAGACCATGAAGTTGGATCACTGTGACAAGCTGCACCGCTTCATGGGACGACAGAGAGGAGACTGAGGCTGCGTCGCCCTCCCAGACAGCATGGTCTGCCTAATCAAAAAGCTTTTAGTATTGGTTATATATTTCAATTTACTTGGGTGGGTCACCTTTTTGGGAAGGAGAAAGGAAGGGAGAGATGTGAAATCGCAGGAACCCAAGCTGATTTTCGCTTGAGCATTTGTGCCTTTCATCCATGAATGGGGTGAAGTCTGACGGCTTTTGTCTCATCTGATTCAGCTGCGATGCACAACTGCGTGTGTGTGAGAGGTTAATTTGTGCGAGCGCCTGGTATATATTTTTCCTTACATTAAGGAGCACCGACTCCAGGCTGGCCAACAGGATTAAAGCTAGTGCTTGTCGTTTATTAGTTGCATTTAAGCTTTATTGTTAATAGGAATTTAACTTATTTAATAACATTTAATTTATTTTTTCTGAATTTGTGCTGTGAATTACATTTGACAACAACTTTTAATAGAAAGCTAATTTTTTGTTTTTGGAAACAAACGGTTCTCAAAAACAGGGATATAGACCACTACAGCTTGTCAAAGCTCTCTGGACGTAGCGACTAAAAAAGCCCCTTGTGTACATTAAATTAGTTTTTTGGTCCTTTGTTACCGTGCTGTATGTTTTGGACATTTAAAGGTATTGGGCAACTGTTTTTAAGCAATGTCTTTTTTTGTGAAGAAGGTAAAAATGTTCAGTGCACTGACAGAAATGCTAAATGCCATTACCTCAGATTTATTAATCTGCAGTGTTTGATTTATATTTTGGCACTTTATTTGTCTTAACTTCTCTTGTTATTGCATGCATCCATCCATCCATGCATTCTTCCTGCCTTGTTAGTGTTTGAAGGTGTTACTGGCACAGTTTAATATCCGTAATTATAACTAGGCAAATAACAGTTACTGAGCATCTGTTTTGAACTACAATTAATGTTTTACCTCATGTCACTGAACACTAAGTTCTATATATAATATACTATATAATATATCTTTAGCACAAATTTGAGCATGAAGGCTAAGATGTTCAGAAGTGCTACAGGAAGCGTCCACTCATTCGGGATGAAATGGAGAGTTGGATGTGACGTGGAGTGTTTGTGCCAGTGCTGGTATTCTGATCTTGTTTTCATGCAGTCCACAAATTGCTGGAAGTTTTGTTTGGATTGAGTGCGTTTTTGTGCTGCTTAAATAAAACATTAATCAAACATGGTTTCTCTGTGGTCTGTGATTCTCAAAAGTTGTATGCTTATATGCAGAATTCATTAATTATTGACCAAAAACAGATTGTCAGGAAGAGGTGATCATGTCAGTATCATAATTTATAGTTGTAATTTTACAGCTCTTTTTATTGCATAAAAGCAATAATTAATTCAAAAATTCAATAAATCTTTTCCATACAGTTAAGGTCAATGGTGACCAAAGATTTTCAATAAATAATGACTTGAGTAAGCATAAAAATGTAATCTTATTTAATTTTTTTGTTTGTTTTTGATCTCACCATTTTAATAAAAATGTCTCAGCCCAATCTTCTGGTGAATTAGAGCTCGATCAGACTCCTTCAATCATATCATCTGCTTAAATCCAGCCCTTTAATTACAATCAACTACAAGCTTGCATTCCCATCTGTCTCCATCCAATCAACAACCAATGGATTGAACCAAGTTCCTGCCCTACATTTTGTTTTTATTATTGATCATCTGTTTTACTCAGATGTGTCACAATCTGGAAGAAAAGATCTGTCGATACAGCTATTACATTGTCATTACACTGTTCCTCACACCATTCTACCATAAGGCTTCAGAAGACTTTGAAAATAGCACACAAGTCATATTATCTTATTTTATGATGCTTTTTTATTTTTGTTCTTTTTTTGGAGCTTGAAAGTCCTTGGTCCTCATCTGTTACATGTGTGAACATTATTTAAAATCTAAGTAAAAAAAAAAAAAAAGTAATTTAGTTTGGAACGACAGTCTCTTTTTTTAGTATGTCTATATAGTATTTGTTTATTAGTTTTAAATATTTTAGTACTTCAGCTTAAACTAAACAAAAATGATAAATGTTGTCTTGGAAACTAGTTGAAATGAAATCATTTTATTTTATTTCAGATAACGAAAATATTATTTATGGTTTTAGTTTTAGTGTTAGTTAACAATAATAACTCTGATTCAACCTTACAACAAGATAATTGTTAGCACTTACAAACAACAGCACATAAAGCATACACTCTAAAAAATGCTGGGTTAAATATAACCCAGCGCTGGGTTAAAAAGGGACAAACCCAGCTATTGGGTTGTTTTGACCCAGCTATTGGGTTGTTTTGACCCAGCGGCAAGAATACAGCATTATGGCAGAGAGTGAAAACAGCATAAAATGTCAGTAACCTTGCTCTTACATAAGAAGGCATTTTAATTTTAATTTTTCGTCCCTTCGACCAGTCATTCACCAATACCTATAAAGGCACTATTCGTACACAAAACAAATCTTTAGTACTACACAACACACACCTCACAAAATTACATACACACAGACATATATGCACAGGTTTTCAGGCAGTCCTATCGTTGTCCAATCCCAAACACCACGCTCCAGTGAAACCCTCATGAACTCTGCTGTTTAAGCGTATTAGCGATATGGTTCAGACAGATTGTCTGATGCTGTCTTCATCACTCAGTCACTTATTAGCATTTCAAAGGAATCCACCCACTGGCTGCTCATTTCTTCATCTTCAAGTCTGCTTCTATAGCGCAGCGTCGCCCCCTGGTGCCCCCGTCCTGCAGAAAGAGAATGAGTCAAAGTCACTTTAAAGGGATAGTTCACCCAAAAATGAAAATTTGATGTTTATCTGCTTACCCCCAGGGCATCCAAGATGTAGGTGACTTTGTTTCTTCAGTCGAACACATATGATGATTTTTAACTCCAGCCGTTGCAGTCTATCAGTCGTATAATGCATGGCAATGGTAACAAAATCTATGAGAGTAAAAAAAAACATGCACAGACAAATCCAAATTAAACACTGCGGCTCGTGACGACACATTGATGCCCTAAGACACAAAACGATCGGTTTGTGCCAGAAACCGAACAGTATTTATATCATTTAAACATCAAATTTTCATTTTTGGGTGAACTATCCTTTTAAAGCAAGTAACTTTTTTCCCCCTATTTTTACAGCAGCTTTTCCAGATCACTTTTAAATATATGTTAAACAGAACATCAAATCTGACAGTTATGGTATATAAAAAATTGCCAGTAGTCTCCAGTAAACAAACAGGTGATTTCTCAAAAAAGTCACTGGCTCTAACTTCACCCCAAATTGAAAATTCTTCTTCTGTTCAACATAAAAGAAGATATTTTAAAGAATGTTGATAACCAAACAGTTGCTGGTAGCCATTGACTTTCATAGTATTTTTTTTTCCTGCTGTGGAAGTCAATGGCTACCAGCAACTGTTAGTTATCAACATTCTTCAAAATATCTGTAAAAAACAGCGATGATAAGGGGTAAAAGAAGCAGACAGGATACTTACAAAGAGAGAGAGAAGGAATGCAGGAGAGGCCATGGGAACACAGTCCTGTGAGAAGACAAAGGTCGAATGCACACTCAAATGCAAAAGCAGTTTAAAGGTGGATGTTGCATTGAAAAAGACAAGAACAGAAAGATTCTGGTTTCATAAATGTTTGTAAAAGTTGACTGTATTATATCAGTCCAATGATCTGCAGAAGGTGCGACTCAACAGCACTGACCAAATTTAGACATCTAATGTGATGTCTTTCATATCACTCAGCAGTCTCTTTCTTCTCACATTATAGAAAATTTTTAACTCAAATCCATATTTCATGTCCATTACTTCCTGCATTAATATAATTTATTAAATGTATACATATGAACTACCATTCAAAAGTTTGGTGCCAGTAAATGGTGCCAGCAAGGGCACAAGAAATTAACAAAGTTAAAATATAATTATAAAATACATAATATTAAAAATATAATTATATCAAACAGAGATTATTAGTGTGGTAAGATTACATTTATTTGAATAAATTATAGCTTTTATTTAAAGTACGGTAATTAGTGAGAGAGAGGGAGAGATTGTGTTTGTGAATTACCTGCGTCTGTGCAGTCTCTCTACTAATAGTGAAGCTGCGAGTTTATTTACTTCAAAAACAGCGACATTACATATACATATCCTGTTTCAATGGACTAACATTAGTTATCCAGAATCTTCTGATGAAATGTGCAAAAGTATAAAAGTGCTATGGCATATAAAGCATCCCACCTTGTCACTGGGGTCCTGTTTGCGGTTGGCGTCTCTCCCACGCAGGCTCTTGGCACTGATGCCCGATTCCGAGGTCTGCATGATCAACTGTGTGGCCAGAAACTGCTGGATCTGCTCCAAAACGTCCCTCTGCATCTCCACGGCCATGTGGAACACATCATGGTCCGAGCTGTTGTACATCACTGCATTCTGGAACATCAGCATGATGTCGCGCTGGAACTCAGCTGTGGTGCGGATCAGCCCGTTCTCAATGTTCTTCTTGATGGTGGACAGATCCATTGGCCTAAGAACCCAAAAGTGTCACAAAGACTTTGTAATTACTTTTTGGAATTTATTTTCATTGTATGTTCAATTTTTTTCTATCTCAAATCATCAAGGACAATTGGATTCCTCATTGCAAAACCCTTTGAATTTACCTTCAACAGTTCGCTCTCACCTGTGCACAATACTGTGGTAACCAGGGGCGATGTCATCCGTCACTGGTTGCAGGAAGACATTTGCATACCTGTTTAAAATGACCAATTATCACTCAGTTTAATCATTCTGGCTGCGCAGAACTGAGGCTTTCAGATAAAAGGGGGCGGGGTTTGGTACAGAGTAATGAAGACTCTCACCTGTGATTGGCTGCTGCTCGCCACACCAACATAATGGCTTTCTTCCAGATCTTCTGAGCCTGAATTGCTTCTTGATCTTCACTGCAGATAGAGCTGAGGAGGATGAAGATGAGA